CAGGATTGTCACAAGAGGGCATTAGAGACCTACATTCTTGAGACTGACCTATTCCAGTGAAACGAGAACAAGATTCAAAAGTATTCATACTTGGTGATAACAAATTTTTATTTTACCAAAGCATCTGAGGATTTCATTGTCAATCTTATAGTTAAGCACCTGGCTTGATGCAAAGTACTTTTTGTTAGTTTTTACTCAGTGAATGACCAGGTTCTTCTGACATGATTTTCTTTTCCCACTTGTGGGCCATGGGTATTGCTGGCTGAACAAAGTGTTTTATTAATTTCAAGAATATGCTTTATTCATAAATTATAAATAAATACAAAAATTACGAAACAATTTTGTACAGACGTTGCAGAAGATGCAGTGGAATTTTGACATTCCTCACTAGAGTTTCAATCCTGTTGCAAGAGGAAAGGTATTTTCTATGCATGAAAGGAAAATATTTACCTTCCCATTAAGGCTATAAGAGGGTGTCTCAAAATGTAACAGGTTTTCTTTATATTTTGGCAGAAAGACCTTAGGCAGTGATCTTTAACCACACTTTTTCTTTTGGTGGTGAGCTGCTACTTTGAACTGCTGCAGTCCATGGCTGTAGTAGATCCACAACCTTGGATATCCTAGGTTTTTGACAAGATTTGTAGCTCAGGTTGTGGATGAGGCTATAGACTTGCTTGCCGAACCGGTGTGTTTGATTGCAGATGATTGCAATGGAACACCAATGGGTTCCCCAATATCAGGACTAATTGCAGAAGCGGTAACTCAAAGGTTAGAACAAACAGCACTCCCCACTATACAACCCAAACTCTGGGTCCGTTATGTAGATGACACCTTTGTGGATTATCAAACGCACAAGACTAGAAGAAACCCACTGACACACAAACAACATCCTCATCGGAGTAAATTGACAAAAGAGGAAGAGAACAATAACTGACTACCCTTCCTAGACATAATGGTACAACGCAAGAACAACGGGGAACTCCAGACTAGCGTATACAGAAAGACCACACATACGGACCAGATACTTAATTACACCAGCAACCACCCCAACATCCGTAAATAGAGCTGCTTCAGGGCATTATTCAAATGGGCCACAGCACACTACAGCAACCCAGAACAGGTGTACAGAGATGTTAAAAGGAATGGATACCCAAAAAGTACAATCGGCCATTACCTCTGCGACAGACCATAGCAAGAAGACACAACATGGCCAGACACACTAGTCACCCTACCATACATCAGAGATGAGCACAAGACTATTCAGACCCCTAGGTATCAGGGTAGCCCACAAACCAACAACCACCCTGCAACAGCTACTGATGAAAGTAAAGGATCCCATACCCACAACCAATAAAACTAACGTAATATGCAAAATACCATGCAAGGACTATGAGAGACATTACATAGGTCAAACTGAAAGAAAACTGACAATAAGGATACATGAACACCAACAAGCCACTAAGAGACATGACCACTTCTCACTGGTCTTAATACACACGGACAAAGAAGGACACAAATTCGACTGGGGCAACACATCCATAATAGCACAAGCCAAACGGAGACATGCCAGGGAATTCCTGGAGGCCCCCCCCCAATATGAGGGCTGATAACAGAAGTGGTAATGCAAAGATTAGAACAGACAGCACTCCCCACTATCAAACCCAACCTCTGGGTCCGCTATGTAGATGACACCTTCGTGATTATCAAACGCACAGGACTAGAAGAAACCTACTGACCCATAAACAACATCCTCACCGAAATAAAATTCACAAAAGAAGAAGAGAACAATAACTGACTACCCTTGCTGGATGTAATGGTGGAACATAAGAACAACGGGGAACTCCAGACTAGTGTACACAGAAAGACAACACATACGGACTAGATACTTAATAACACCAGCAACCACCCCAACACCCATGAACGGAGCTCCATCAGAAGAATATTCAAATGATCCACAACACATTGCAGCAACTGTAATTGCGCAAAGCAGAACAGGAGCATGTATACCGAGCTTTTAAAAGGAATGGATACCCAAAAAGCACAATCTGCCATTACCTCTACAACAGACCACAACAAGAAGACACAACATGGCCAGACACACTAGTCAACCTGCCGTGCATCAGGGACATATCAGAGATACATACATACGCCAAACTGGAAGAAAACTGGCAATAAGGATATACGAACACCAACTAGCCACCAAGAGACATGACCAATTCTCACTGGTCTCAACATGGGAAAAGGAGGTCACAAATTTGACTGGGACAACGCATCCATAATAGCACAAATCAAACAGACATGCCAGGGAATTCCTGGAGTCCTGGCATTCCAACTGGAACTCGGTCAACAAACACATTGAACTGGACCCGATATGGAAACCACTGAAGAACAAAACCGGAAGTAATACCAACCACCCCAGCAAACCGAGGGCGTATAAATAGCAAGCGGGACAGAACACCAGAGGCGCACTGACAGTGTTACCTAGCAGGGTGACGGGACATCAGCAATCAAACACACCGGCTCAGTGGGTGCGTCAACAACCTCGGGGTAATCTAGGAACGGTGATATATTTCCAAGTCAGGATGGTGAGTGGCTTGGAGGGGATCTTGCAAATGGTGTTGTTCTTATGTGTTGTTGCTGTTGCCCTTGTAGTTAGTAGTGGGAAGCTATTTGCATTTCTAAGGTTATGGCCAATCAGTATGGCGAGAGGTAACTATCAAAGTCATGTTTGGCCCTAATAGGGGCCATATCTGTTTAATTGACTGTTTGATGCTAGGAGGAGGAACGAGAATTTGATTTATGTAAACTATGATATCTTCAGCTTCATCTGTAAAATAAACAGTTTCTTCTTTTGCCATTACACGAAAATGACCATTAGGAGTAATAAATGGAAATTGTGTGAGAGTATATACAGCATCGCTGAAACTAGTACAAACAATGAAGGACTTAATTCTTATGACCACAGAATCCTGTTGTTGAATGACCAAATATTGTTCCCTTTTGTGAAGGAGATGTAGAGCCTGCTAACAGAAGAGACTGGTGATGGTTGTGTGGAAATTTGGAACAAGCATCATGTGTCTTAGTGAAATGTTTTGTATGCGAACATTTAACCTTGTAATATAGTCACTCTCTCTCAATCAAATGCAACAGCTTAGCTGCATATCTGTTCAGGTGCATGTAAAAATCCATGGAGCACCTCAAAGAACGAGAATTTCTTCTGATGTCCTCATCAAAATTCCTCCCTCACCCGGGGGAGTAGGAGATGAACCAGGTGAAGGAGAGAGCAGGGTGGAAGTTGAAAGTGAAATTGATAATCTTTTCTAGTTCAGAACAAGATGGGGAAGCAGCATTGATGAAATCATCAATGTACTGGAGAAAGTGCTGTGGGGAGGGACAGGAGTAGTTTTGGAACAAGGAATGTTTCACGTACTCCACAGAGAAACAGGTATAACTGGGTCTGTGCAGGCACCCATAGCCACACCTTCGATCTGATGAAAGAGGGAGGAGTTCAAGGAGAAGATGCTCAAAGTGAGGATGAGTTCAGCCAGGCGGAGGAGGATGGTGGTGGATGGGGATGGGTCAGCCCTTTCCAGGAAAAAGCGGAGAGCCCTGAGACCATTGTGATGGGGGAATGGATATGTAAAAGAGATTGCATGTATATGCTGAAGAGTAGGGGGCTGGAGCCTGTGAACTGGAAGTTTTGAAACTGACAAAGTGTCAGAAGAATCACGATTGTGAGTGGGGAAGGACTGGACAAGGGGAGGAAAAAAAAATGTCAAGGTAGGAAGAGTTATGGTCTGTTGGACAGGAACAGGAAGAAACAATGTGTCTGCCCAGACAGACCGATCTGGATTTTGGGGAGAAAGTAAAAGTGGGCTGGGGTTAGGGGACTCTGAGCTGGGAGGCTGTCACAGGGAGTTTCAGATGAGATGAGGTTGTTGATGGCCACGGATGCAATGATCTGATCCTTGATGGTCCAGGCAGAGATGGGAGGAGGTGTCTGAGACTGGTGCTTGGCCTCAGTTCTCTGAATAAGTATCATGATTTAGTGCTGATTTCTTGCCTTGTACGTTTTATCTGTTTAAGTAATCATCCAATGCTCTTTAGAATGCCTTGATTGAACGTGTCTCCACCACGGTTCCAAACAGTGCCTTCCGGATCTGAACCACTTTCTTTGTGAAAATGTTTCTTCAAATGTTAATGAATGTGCTTCAAACAAGAAAATTATTGAATGCAAAACTTAAGGACTTCTCAGTCCATTATGCAGCATTATATAAATCATCTTTGTTTTCTTTTGTTCCTCGCCAAGAGTGATGAAGTGGCTACTGACCTCCGATTTGGCATATTTATATGAATTGAACTTATAGTCACCTGAAATACAGCTGTTGTAGCAGCAGAATGTCAGTTTGTGGTTTCCATTCTATTATGCTGTTAACTCTTTAGAAGCCCTCTTTGATCCAGATTTCCAGTGATCTACAAACTAGAATTAATATATTTTTTATAGGCTATTTTGAATTTGGTTATGATTATTTATGTATATTTAATAGATTTATTTGTCTTTATCTCTCCAGCCTCCTCCCCCAACCTAAAATTATTTTCTGATGTCTGATACTGACTTTGTATTCTGCTGTGATCCCAGAAATCCAATAAATGACAACTCAGCCAGAGATACTGAACATTGACCAAGCACCCTGACTTTCAGCCCTTCATGTCTTTGTCCTAGATAATGTTGAGAATAAATGCGTCATTGGGAATCAGTTTAGCATTTAGGTTGGAAATTCAACCTTGGAATTCTGGTCCAAGTGCCTTAGTGTCATAATATGTGATGTATTTATCATCTTTCTTTGACTCAAACGGAATTGAGCAATAATTCACAACAATGCAAGAAATGAAAGTCAGTGCAATAAAAGTGTTTCCAATCAATAATAAAGAATTATGATCTATTATTTAGTGAACAATCTAAGCCTTTTAAGGTAATAATGACATTACTCTTTATTTAGGTTATTTATCCTGGGATCATATGACCGAACTGAACACATTCACTGTACCCTGGAGTTGAGCACCAAGATTTGGAAGGAAAAACCTAGAAGCTCCATCAAAACGGTATCTGCATTTGCAAATGCTACTATTCTGAAATGAAAATGTCTTATTGTTTTTGATATTGTCAGTTGGAGATCTTTATACAATGCTGAACTAAAATGAAATATTAAATATGTAGTTCTACAAAATCAAGAGAACTTGTGAATTACAAGGTTCCCCAGACAGAACCACATGAATTCCACTCTTCAGTAACGGAGACTGTGCTTTCAAGAATTATGGAAACATGTATTTTTCAGTGTTTCACATACACTCTAGGAAATATAATCACTGGCAAATGTTTATTACTTGGGTTCCATCTTATAAAGAAGTGGCATCCAATGGTTTAGTTTCAGGATTATTTTTCTTAATGAGGGCAATTTTTACTCATTACTCTGGAGTGTATTTACAATTTTAAAGCTCCATCATGTACCTGCCAACCCTTACGTGGACAGATCAGTCAGATTGAAGGACATGGTAGTGAGCCTGTTGTCCACTGCTATTCCGTAAGCAACTTGAGAATTAGAGTCAGACTTCAAATGTGATTTTGCAACAATTTGTTGAGTATATATTACAATTGTTGGGGTTTTTTGCTCCCTTGAGTTGTCAACAGTAAAGCACAATATATCTATTACATATGACTTGTACCACTGTCAAAGAAAAATTGTCATTTGGCTGTTTCTTGTGAACTGTATAATTGTCCTGTTCTTGGAATGTTTTGACCAGCAGAGGGCTGTCTGGTCAGGGCTCTCCATTTCAGTCATGTGCCGTCATATCCTGTTAGAATACAATCCATTGTTATCCTATTGTGGCTATCTGTTGCGTAAACTTTATTTTTGTCTTCAGAATTAATGGCTACATTTGACGTAATTTTTACACACCCATTACTTCTCCAGAGGTTTGGTGAGCACCAGAAAAATCAGCTGCAGAATTCAATGTAGGATCTTATGCATCAAAGTTTCAAAAGCAACATTCTTTTCAACATTAGTTTTATGGCTGAACATTACATTTTGCCAAATATTTACTGTCTACTGTTTTTTACTGTCTACCCATCACAGTGAATGGAAAACTCAATGCCCTTGCATTGAGTTTGTGTAATATTTCCCTTTTCCAGCTGTGTTTGTAGGACAGTGTACTATTATCTCATTCATATAAAGTCTATGTGACTACTCTTTTGTATCAACAAGTTTCTTGTTTCAACGAACAGTAACAACTATCATTTTTGAGTCTTTAATGTAGTCAAAAGTGCCAAAGTGCTTTGCAGGAGGTTTATCAAACAAAATTTGGCACTGAGCCATGTGAGATAATAGATCACATACCCAAAGGTTTTGTGAAAGAGGTGGCCTTAAGGAGCATCCTGAAAGCAGGAAAAGACGTGGTGAGGTTTCGGGGGGATCTTCTAGAGTTAAGGTCTAAAAGCAGCTATAAACATATCCAATAAAAGTGATATGATTAAAATTAAGGATATACAAGAAGTCAGAATTAGAGCAACACAGTGACTTTGGGATTGTAGGAAGTTAGAGATATGGGGTGAGACAAGAAGGGATTTGGAACAGTAATGCAAATTTTACATCTGAGCTGATGACAGATGCAGGAGTCAATTTAGGTCATGGGATAATGGACAAACAGAATTTGGTTTGAGTTAGGATATTAGCAGGCAAGTTTTAGATGAGTATGTAGGCTGTTTCTCCATGAACCAAATGGAAAAGGACACTGAAACTTTAAAGGCAACAGCATTAATTCATGTCCTTGTTCATATCTCAAAGTAGGAGGGACTCTATAGGAAGTGTAGGCAGCCCAATGAAAACAAAACAGGAAATGTGAGTGCAAGAAAGAATGGTGTAAGGGAGCACATTGATGGTGAAGGAATAAATAGAGCAGAAGTCTAAAAAGATGGTGAAATATAAAGTGAGAGAAAACCCTGTCAAAATGAGTGGAATTGTCTGTACAGTGATGCACACAGCATCCAAAGTAAAACTGGGGAGCTGGAAGGAATCATGATTGGGTGGAACCAGGCAAATTAGGGACTAAGGAGACATGGCTATAGAAAAGTCAGGACACGGGATTGAACATTACAGGATATAACACATTTAAAAGGTAGAGAGGGGCAAAATGCATCAAAATGTACTTGATAGGGATAACAAAATTGCAGTAAAAAAACGGAACACAACTACTAGTAAAACAAAATAGAAGCCATATGCGTAAAGGAAAAAGACCGTAAAGGACTGATCACAATGATAAGTATCTATAGACACCTAATAGGGAGCTCTAGGAAGAAGTATTTAAACACATTAGAGCATTGAATGATGATATATGATAATCATGAGGGGTTTCAGTACTGTGATACTAATTGTATAGAAGAGGTGGTAGCGATGATAAGTAAATGGAGTTCCTACAATGTGAATGGAACTCTTTTCTATCACAAAAGCCAAAAAACAGGGAAGATTAATTTTTGGATCTAGTAGTTAGTGAAGGAATGAGAGTAAAATGGGTTAAGTAAAAGTGGGGAAACTTCTGGGTGATAGTGACCATAACAGAAAATGCATTAAGGTGTTAATAGAGAAGTGTGCAAGTATGATGAAAGTGGGGTTAATAGGTTGGAGAAAAGCTGAGATTGAACAGCTGAGCAAAGAACTTGGGAAAATAAAATGGACAACAAGATTGATAAATAACCATTTAAAACAACAATGGGAAGCACTTAACAGACTGCAGGAAAAATATATTGCAAGGAAAGAACAAGATAAGTACTAGTTGGTCTCCTTGAATGAATAAAGACAAGGGAAAAATTGAGATTCAGGAAAGTGACATACATTAACCAAGTGGGCAGTAGGGAAGTGCATGATAAGAGGGAATACAAAGTAATTTGGAGAGGTCCACAAAAATTAGGAAGGCAAAGAAAAACTATGATTAAATTATCAAAGAACCTAAATAACAAGGAGCTGTGAAATATGTATCAGGTACATCAGTAAAGTAAAGGAAGGCAGTGCTGAAAGTAGGACTATTAAGACATAGATTAAATAATGGAACAGGTAATGGTAAAGAGCTAGCAGAAGTTCTAAATAATTACTTAGCTTCAGTATTTACCAGAGAGCGAGAACGGATGGACTGACATTGGCTAACAAGCCATAAGATACGCGCTTTTCTCTTTCATGGATGTGGGCTTCATTGACAAGCCCAGCATTTTTTGTCCATTCCTAATTGCCCTAAACATGACATAATGAACCTCCTCCTTGAACTGGAAGTACACCAGCAGTGTTAGGAAGGGAATTCCAGGATTTTCAACCAGCACAATTGAAGGAAGAGGATTGTGCATCAGCAATGTGAAAAATGATTCAGATACTCAGGTATGTTCTGTCCACAAAAAACAGGAGAACACCAACCTGGCCAATTACTGCCCTATCACCAGAAAGTGATAGACAGTGAAATCAATATTTCTATGAATAGGCACTTACTCAGTAATATGCTGCTCACAAATGACCAGTCTAGATTCTGCCAGGTCCACTCGCCTACTGACCTCAGGGGAACTTGCAGCTGCTACCTTTTTCTAGCTAGGTGATAAATGTCAGGTTTGAAAGGTGCTGTTGAAAGAGCATCGATGATTTACTACACTTTGCCTCATGTAGTTAGCACAGATTGTTGTCAAGATATGTTAGTAGTAGAAAGTGAGAATGTTGAAGGTGATGAATAGGGTGCCAATCAAACAATCTGCTTTGACATGGATGGTGTCAAACTTCTTGTGTTGTTGGAGCTACACATCCTAGGTGGAGAATTTTCTATCACATTCCTGACCTATATTTTGGTGATGGTGGGCAGGCTTTCAGGCAGTTGCAGAATTCCCAGCCTCTTAGATGATCCTAGCAGCTACAGTATGCACACTGCTGAACAGACATTTTATTCAATGTTTTCCTCTTGCACTCATCACAACAATGTCAATGTAAGGAGAAAACCAATATTTATTCTGTGTCAGAGGAATGTGCTGATTAGTTGGCAAGTGGACTTTGGTTGGTAATATGTTTCTATGGAGAATACACTGTACATGATGATCAACAGTTAACTCTCGGGCTGTAGTGAGGTCATAGGCGAATGGACCTGGCAGAATCTAGACTGGTCATTTGTGAGCAGCATATTACTGTGTAAGTGCCTATTCATAGAAATACTGATGACACTGTCTATTGCTTTCTGGTGATAGGGCAGTAATTGGCCAGGTTGGTGTTCTCCTGTTTTTTGTGGACAGAACATACCTGAGTATCTGAATTATTTTTCACGTTGCTGAGTATATGCCACTGTTGTGACTGTACTGGAATTTTTAAAATGAAAGGAAAGGAGTGTATTAAATAAGCAAATAATCTCTGAGGATAAAATGCTGATCCTGATAGGTTTCATTCATCCGTTTTAAAAGTATTGAGGGAGGAAATAGCAGAGGTACTATTTCACACAGTTAATAATTCCTTAGAAAAAGATGTAGGACCAGAGGACTAGCAGATAGTTAGGTTTTAAGAAGGGAAATAGAATATACCCAGACAATTAAGACAGCTTAACAATCAAAGGCAGAAAAATAATTGAATCCCTATTAAAGGAGACCATAGAAGAACATTGGAAAACCAAAAATGTGATCATGAATATTCAGCATGGATTTTCAAAAGGGAAAATCTTGCTTCTTGACCGTATAATTTTAAGGGTTTGGCAGTGGGGGTAAGAAAGTCGGTACTGAGGAGGACTCCAACAAATGATAAGGGGGACATATGGAATGGTCAGTTCATTGGCAAAAATATTCAAGGCAGAATAATGAAAGCTTTTGCAATGAAATAACTGCACAGAAGCTGGTGTCCTGTCACCAAGTCACCCTTTATTTCCTAGTGCACAATACACTGGCTGTAGCCAGCTAGCTCGGAGTTAGTCCTCAACTGAGGAGATTCTACATCTCTTAGTTATGTTGGTCAGCCAAGGCTTTCGTGATTGGCCCAGAATCTTGTAGTTAATGAGGTCCACCTGGTTCCAATCACTACATCCCTCCCCTCAAGTCAGGG